TTCACATGAAAAATGTCAAGTCCTGTGAAAATTAAGAGATATTTCTATAAAAGTAGCATGTGTGAGCTGTTACCACATGCTTACACTCAATATAATTTAACAATGTTTATTCTTACAAGACTCATCCAGTAAAGAAAAAACTGTTCTTAATGAGAGTTTCCTATAAGAAACTAGTGGTCAACTTTACAACTAAATTAAAAAGCGAAAGCTAGAACAGGAAGAAAAACTGAAAAGCAGTGGGACATCGAGATTGCCAGGTGACCTGCCAAAATTCAGGGCACTGAGCCTGTGCCTTGCTTCCTGCAACTCAAATCCAAACACAATGCCTGGCACAAGATAGCTATTTTGTATTTATTAAAAATCAATAAAAGTTGGGGCTAAACAGATGGTTCAGCATGTGATGTTCTTGCAGAGGTCCAGAGTTCAATTCCCATCACCCAACTGCCTGTAACCCCAGTTCCAAGGGTTCCAAAGCCCTCTTCTGGCTTCCCTAGGAACCTGCACTCATGAGTTTATATGCACACACAGACACAAGCAAAAAAAAATTCTATGTAAAAAACAATAAAAACAAATGAAATACACATTAAGTGTCATGCATATCACAAAAAAAAACCCTAAATAGAACACAAACAATATGACTCATTTATACACACTTAATAAAAGCTCGGAATGCCAAGGGCAGCTGGCCTAGTGTGTGGCAGCAAACAATGAGATGCTGTCTCTTACAAGGTACAAGGTCTGAATGACACCCAAGCTGTCCTCTGATCTCCAAGCACACACCATAATACTCAGCCCCCACAAGAAAAGCACAAACAAATGATAAGCCTCACCACACAAGACATCTATATTCTATATCCTGTCAATAAAGCTGATAAGGTTATAGAATAAGCTTCAAAAAGGGGCACACAGCCTTATCACAATAATAAAAGCTAATAGTTAACATCTTCTGAGTTGCAACTATGTATCAGTCACTTATTCTAATGCTCTATATACATTAACTCCTCCAATTCCGAAGATCCAAAGAGAATACTGCTCTTAACTTCCTACTAGAGATCAAGAGGTTAACTAATTTAACCAAATCAGCTACAACTCCAGCTCCATGCCTGCCTACCTGCTGCCATGACTCCCACCATGATGGTCATGGGCTCTAATCCTCTCAAACAGTAAGCTCCAAATAAGCCCTTTTTTCTATAAGTTGTCTAATCACGGCCACAGCAAAGGAACTAAGACAAGAACAGAGCCCCACAAGCTGTCCACTGACCTTCGCAGGCACATAGCTGCACACATGAATACCTGGGCGTGCACACACATACACAAATAAATGAATATGATACAATTATTTTAAAATAAAAATTTAAAGCAACAAGAAAGTAAGTTAACTGCAAAGAAAACAAAATGCTGAAAATGAAATTGGCAATAAAATTATATAATCATGTTACCTGGATCAGGTATATAGAGAAATAACTAAAGATTGTAATCTTAACTCTTCTGTAAGTCAATAGCTTCTAAAAATTAAAATTAGGAAATAATTATTTTATACTTTCAGGAAAATACAAGAGCTTAGTAAGCACTGTCAAGTAAACCCAAGGACCTGCACTCCATCCCAGAGTCTACATCAGAAAAGCCAGGGATGCGGCACTCTTAAATGGAAAGGTGAGGTGGATCCTGGGGATGCTGGCCAGCCAGCCGAGCCTAATGGGGAAGCTCCAGGTCAAGAAGACCAGTAAGGTTTTGGGATGACACCACAGGCTGACTTCTGGCCTCCACTCATAAGCGCATGCACCCACACAGCACATGTGTATTGTCAGCTGAAAACAGATGGGGCAGGGTGTGGCAAGGAAATGCTATTTTAAAGTAAGTCTTCCAATACACTTGACTTTAATACTATAATGTGAGCTGTAGAAATTAAGTTAGAAGAAAAATACATACTCATACTAAAATAAAATATGCAGAAAAACACAAATGAACTATAAAATTACAAATCTCAAACAACCAGAGAAAAATATGTCTAATTTTTAAATCATTCAGCGCTTTGTATACATATTATAAAAAAATCAAGCTACTTTGTAATTGAATTGTATGCTTTGTCAAACACTAAGGACAATATTGCTAACCTTGAATTTGCGACAGGGTCTCTTACGGTGACTAGGGTAGACTGACTGACCAGCCAGTGAGCCCCTAAGATTCCCATCCCTACCTCCCCACTGCTGTTATTACCGGAGAACTGTACCACATACAGCTTTTTTAAGTCGGTGCCAGGGACAGAACTTGAGTTCTCATGCTTGCAAAGCAAGCACTTCATCAGCTGAGCTATCTCCCCAAGCGTCATTATTTTATGTTTTCTTCAGTTATTACACACGTATCATGAGGGACGAAAACCCAGACCCATGTTTAGTGTCATCTGCAGCAATATCCTTTCGGCACAGGGCTAGTCATACAGAACACACACAAATTTTGTGTTTTTGTTATATGCCAGGTGCATGTACATGACTGGTATGCCTGCATTTGGAGGTCATAGGTCAACCTCAATGATGTTCCTCAAGGGCTGTCCACTTTGTTTTTGAGACAAGGTCTCTCACTGTGACCTAGAAAACACTGATAACGTTAGGCTGGCTGGCCAGGAAGCCCCAGGATCCTCCTGTCTCCAGCACTGGGATTTTAAGCATCCATCGCTTCACAAATGCTGAAAATGTGGCCATGAGCCATTACAGTTGAATTTGGCAAATCATTTCCCGTGCCAGAATTCATATTTTGAAAACCCAGGTATGGTGGCATATGCCTGTAACACTAGGGAAGCAGAGACGGGAGGATTACTGCGGTTTGATGACTGGTCTAGGCTACTTGGCAAGTTCTAAGAGTGAGTAAATCTGACTTCCCAAAACACAAAGGACAACATCTGAGGACAACACCCAAGACTGTACTTTCAATGTGTGCAAGTGAGCATGCACATTCGCACACAAAGAAACTCACTTGCATCTCCAACAAGCACTCTTCTACCTAAAAAAAAAAACAACCAGAAGTATATTTTCACAGTATGTTATTAAAAGTCAGGTTATAATAGAACGTAAACAGCTGCTCTTTCTTGGCAACAGGATTATCCTTACTTTTTGTAATGCTCTCCAGAATTTTCTTTAGAAAATTAGTAACTATTTTTGAAGCTGGAAAAAGCTTTATACTCTTTTTTTAAATTTATTTATTTATTATATATACAGTGTTCTATCTGCATGGCAGAAGAGGGAACCTGATCTCATTACAGATGGTTGTGAGACACCATGTGGTTGCTGGAAATTGAACTCAGGACCCCTGGAAGAGCAGCCCATGCTCTTAACCTCTGAGCCATCTCTCCAGCCCCAAGTTTTATACTCTTAATAAAGGTATATAGGAGTATAATGAAGTTTTATAGTCTTAATCAAAGGATTAAAAATGCAGTTCACTTGGTAAAGTGCTTGCCTAGCACATCCACAGCACAACAGAAATCAGTATAGTATAACTCTAGCACTCGGAAGGTGGAGGCATGATGCTGAGAATTATGAGGTCATCCTTGGCTCTACTGTAAGTGTGAGGCCAGCCTGGGATACATGAGACCCTGGACAGAGTGAGAAAGAGAGACACAGAGATGAAATAAATCAAGAGCCATCGATAATGGCTCACATTAGTGAAGTGGCTGAGGCAGAAGAGTGCCTTAAAGTTGAAGCCAGTCGCCAGGCAGTGGTAGCGCACACCTTTCATTCCAGCACTCGGGAGGTAGAGGCAGGCGGATCTCTGTGAGTTCGAGCCTGGTCTAAAGAGCTAGCTCCAGGACAGGCTCCAAAGCTACAGAAAAAAACAAAACAAACAAACAAACAAACAAACAAATAAATGTATGTTGATGCCAGTCTATATCAGCAATCCAAGAAAGAGAGAGGGGAGTTGGAGCGATGGCTCAGAGGTTAAGAGCACTGACTGCTCTTCCAGAGGTCCTAAGTTCAATTCCCAGCAACCACATGGCAGCCATCTCTCCATAAAAGTCAGGTTATAATAGGATGTGCCAGTGGGAGGTATAAACATAATAGTTAAATGTTATGGGACTATATGACATTTCCTAGGGTGTGAACCAGAAGGAAAAGCAGCAGGTGAAGTCTCCATCTGAAAATAAGGATGAGGAAGGGGAAAGAGCAGTGCAATGCCCCAGAAGTCAAAGGGTATTGTTTCTTATAGGAGCCAGTGATCCCATGAATCAAAGCTACTAAGAACACTTGACTATGTTCAAAAGAGTTAGAAGACACAAGGCACAGACAACTCTTCACAGGAGCCTTACTTTAGGGATGAAAAGTTGCTTATGGTCTCCTAGCATCTTGCTACCTCTTGGCACAGAGTCAGTATTTAACAAGTTTCTCTATAAATGTAAAATCTGCATATTCCTAGTACTTCAAATCAAGTAAGAAATCCAAACAAAAGCCAGGTGTAGGGGCATACACCCTTAATCTGAGCCTCATGAGGCAGAGATGGGTGTTATCTCAGAATCGGAGGTCTATATAGCAAGTTCCAGGCCAGCCAGGACATGAGACCCTGTCTCAAAACAAAAACAGAAAACTTTAAAGCCCCCAGCCTTCATGAGTGCAGATGACTTTAATGAACATGAACTTTCTCTTCTTCCTTAACTTGCTGTCTATTTAGATTCATTTTCTTTTTCCCTAATGTAGGGATTGGTACCTGGCAGCTAAGTGCTCTCCCATCCAGCTCTACTTTAAGAAATGACTGAACAAAAAGAGAGGATTTCCTTATATATTTATCAATTTCCTAAAATTACAGGTGTAGCAGAAGTTAGCGAATTTATGAACCTGTCACCTAAGAGGTCTAGTCATATAAACAAAACCCCACTTCAAGTGGGATTAAGACAGCCACTTACTTCTCAGAATAAACAATTTGCCTACCCGCAACGTGGTTCTTCCCCTTATGGAACATTCAGCAATGGAAACTTGTGGAGAAAACCCAAAACCTACACAAGTAAATTTTCCTACCTGACATAGTATCTTCTGCTAATTCCTTTTCTCTTTCAATTTTTTCCTCTAGAGTTGAAATGCAGAATTCATAGCCAGCAAGGGCGAATTCCTGTCTAGAAAGAAGTATCAACAATCAATCAGCTGTGCTCACATTTTCTCAAACTCTTTACCCTCATAATTACAGCTCTGGTCTAAGCATTATCAATACTGAGAAGTTTCTATCTCTGGGCTGTCAATCTGTATTTCTCCAAAGTTTATTTGCTTTGAAGTCATTTAAGTTAATTAAGAGATCTGTCAACGTTTTCGTGCTGTGTAGCCATCCCACCACAGTCTCCAGTCTGTCTCTCCATGCAGCAGAGCCCCACGCTGAGGTTCCCAACTGTTGCAATGTGTTTTCTTATCTCACGCTTTGCTTAATAAAACAACATGAAAAAAGTAAACTAACTTAGGTACTGTTAATAGACAGTTAAAAACTTTCAGTTCTGCGAGACTTCTTTTTCAGCATTTATAATTTATTTGCTTTGATTTTCTACTTGTCAGAGGAATTGCGAGAGCATTAACATTTAGTCCTGTAGGATGCTACGCTCTAGAGTGGCCACAGCTGCAGAACTCTGGCACCAGCCAAACTTGAAGCTCAAGATCTAAGTCAAGAGCTGTTTTCTGTCTAAAATCCAGGCTAGCCTACGTTACAGAACCAGCCCCTATCTCAAAGCCCAGAAAGACTTGAAGTCAAAGTCCCACAGAAGTTCCAGCCTATCTAGTGCCCAATCAACACGCAGAGAAACTTAGCAGGCTAATGAAAATGGAGCAATTGACTAGAAGAGAAGCCAGGGTTGGGGCCTCTACCTCAAAGACACCAACCTTACTTCTCTCCCTAAACTCATGCCCTAAATACAACTGTCTAGATATGTTCCTGATTTACATACCATGTGCTCCCCCTTCGAATTCTACCTTGAGACAAAGGAAAGAAAAGTTGTGCCACATAATGTTTTGTCATCTAGAACCCAGAGAAAAGCAACCAAGATGAAGAACAGCTGAAACAATGCCCTGATACTGGCTTCAAAGCAAACACTGGGGCATTCTCTTGTCTGATCGTGGTATGAGTGGTACCTACACCACCAGGTGATTACAAGGTATACAAGAATGCAAACTGAGCAAGCCAGCGAGCAGTGTTCCTCCATGACTTCTGCTTCAGTTCCTGTCTCCAGGTTTCTGCTTTGAATTCCTGCCGTGACTTCCCCCAGTGATACTGTGTGATGTAACAGTTGTTAAACAAAATAAACCCTTTCCTCCCCAAATTACTTTTGGTCATGGTGTTTCACTACAACAAAAGACCCTAACACAGAAATTGGTACCAGGACCATGGACTATGGCTGACAGACCTGACCACGCTGTTTTGGGGACAATTGCGGAAGGACACTGACACTTGAAGCTGGGAAAGCCACTCAATGCTCAGAATTTAACAGGCTGCTGTGGGCCCTTGGGAGATGGGGATGTTGTAGAGAGGCAGACGAATGAGGCCTGACTTTTCTGGGGGAAACAAGGACTGTCAGGACCGTTTGTGCGCTATTTTGTAATGAGACGCTCATCAGCTGGAGCTGAAAAATTAGCTGTGACTAACAAGATACCAGCGTCATTGGCATAAAGTGAAGTCTTTGCTGTGCTAGAACAAAGGCTGCTTAGCCAAAGCTGAGAATTAGAGGCGATTTTACCACCAGCATCATTGAGGTGAAATATTCTGAAACTGTTTCCTGAGGGTCAACACACAGAAGCTGTGGTCCAGAGGGAGCCAAAGCTGTATCTCATATTGACAAACTTGGTAAGAGTCACCCAGGTGGTACTTGTTTTGAAGGCATACAACGGTCATGGGAAGAGCTGAGGCTATGGCCCTGCATGCCTTGGGGGGGGGGGGAGTCCCTGCACGTGATGAAAGGGCAGTCTCAGGGTCTCAGGTGCAGTGGAGACCCCTGCCTACTGGAGACTAGAACCATAGGACAACTGCCAAGGACAGGAGGAGCTGACCCAAGTTTATAAGTTATGTATGCAGGGAAGGAAGAGCTAGGGCTGCCCAGCCCATTGGAGACCAGAAGATCTTGAGTCTCAGACACAACAGCTATTTATACTTCTGAGAAGAACTGGGTTTTGCTTTGATTTGATCATAACCATGCCCTGGTTTCTTCCCTCTTAGAATAGAAACTATGAAACTTACTTTGGCCTTAGAGAAACCCACAGTTGGATATTTTAAAGTGATTGGATTTTAAAGTATTTGACAATTTTTTTAAGACTGTGCATCTTTTAAAGTTATATTATGTTTTAGGCAAGGCGGGACAGTACACACCTCTAATTCCAGCACTCAGATAGTAGAAGCAGGTGGATCTCTGTGAGTTGGGAGGCCAGCCTGGCTTATTTTGTGATAGTAATATTCACATGATATATTGGGGACAAGCACGAAAGGAAAGGATATATGTGAACAGTGATGTTTCTGTGTCAAGGTGACAAGGGGTCAATCATGCTATCTAGTTTGTAAATACGACACAATCTAGAGATAGAGGGACTCTCAGCTGAAGAAATGCCCCATTAGAATAGCCTGTAAGCAAACCTGTCAGGGGGGCATTTTCTTGATTGATGATTGATTGACATGGAAGGGCCCAGCCCACCGTAGGTAGTGTTACCCAAGGCAGTCATGGGGTAGATAACAAAGCAAACCGAGCAAGCTAAGAAAAGCAAGCCAGTAGGCATCCTCCTCTGAGGCTTCTGCCTCAGTTCCTGCCTAAACTCTACCACGGCATCCCTCATATTTTATCACAAGGGTCATTAAAGCCTCATTGGTTGCTAGCTTTTGGAAACATCTAAACTGTTTCCTAAAGCCTTCTATGTAGCTGATGGGCTTTTTCCTCTTTATAAGTATTTAGGGTCATTTGTGGTGGTACATGCCTTTAAGCCCAGCACTCAGGAAGCAGAGACAAGTGCAAAGTTTGAGACTAGCCTGGTCTACATAGCGAGTTCCAGGATAGTCAGGGCAACAAAGAAAAGCTCTGTCTCTAAAATAAAAAATAGAAAAGACTTTAAACTCATCTACTATTTTAAACCTAATTCCTAACTTCCATATCCAGAATTCCCTCTACTACTGGCTCTATCACCCACCAAAATCCTACTGATGATTATTTCCACATACTCTGAAGACATTTAAACAAAGCATCTAATTCCACTAGAGCCACTTGTGCTGGCTAGTTTTATGTCAACTAGATACAAGCTAGAGTCATCTAAGAGGAAGGAACCTCAACTGAGAAAATGCCTATGTTAACTGGGTTGTAGATGAACTGCAGGACATTTTCTTAGAGACTGATGTGATGATGCCCCCTGGACTGGTGGTCTTGGGTACTGTAAGAAAGCAAGTTAAGCAAAGGAGTAAGGAGCACCCCTCCATGACCTCTGCATAAGCTCCTCCTCCAGGTTCCTGCTCATTTTGAGTTCCTAACTTGGCTTCCCTCCATATGTACAAGCCAAATAAACCCTCCCTGCCTCCACATTGCTTTTGGTCATAATGTTTTAACACAACAAAAGGAACCCTAACTAAGACAATACTTATTTTCCAGAATGGATAGTAAGCTGAGCCAGAGACAACCCAAAAGAAATCCTCACCATTTAACTTCATACTTAGCTTCCTCTTTTGCTGGTAGTCGCAGAGTGGCTTCTTCAAGTCTATTATGCTGTGGTACTTCTTACACTGTTCCCTTTGCTTCTAGGAAGTTAACTACAGATCTAACTACTTCACTTCTCATTACAAGCAAACATCAAATACTTGATTAGTTATCACAGTACAGTTACAGGGATGAGGGCTGTGTTCTGCGCAGGTAAATGGAAACAGAAGGAGAGAAACTGGAAAGGCCTCAAAATTACCAAGATGAGAAATGAGACACTTTAAGTATAACATCCAATTTTTGGAGACCCCAAGGTCTGAGTGTTCTGCTCATCACTCTACTACCCAGCCACTGCCACTTCTATACTCTGATCATACTTACTTATTCTGAGCGGCATAGATACTGGCCAGTTTCAGAGAGATCTCAATTATTGCATTGTCTTCCTGTTGGGATTAAAAAAAAAAAAAAGCAATTCATGAAAAGTAAAAATTTCTTATGGAGTATTTCCAACCTCTCTACTGAATTTGGCTTTACAGCCAGTCTTTCCTCCTTTAAAGGAATTAACCAACTATGAATTCTTTGGCCATCATCATTTGGAATCAGTGAAATATTAGCCATTTTTTACAGGTCTGGGGGCGAAATAACTTTTTTTGTGTGTGCTAGGTCTGGGGCTACAAGACATACCCTGGTTGGTTTTTAGGTAATTAGACACAAACTACAGTTATCTGAGAATAACTCAATTGAGAAAAATGCCTCCAGCAGATTGTCTGAAAGCAAGCCTGCGGGGATTTTATTGATTAATGACTGATGTGGGAGAGTCCAGCCCACTGTGGGACTGGGTAGTCTAAGAAAGCAAGCTGAGTGAGCCACGGGAAGCCAGTAAGAAGGATTTTTCCATGTCCTCTGCTTCAGCTCCCACTTCCAGGTACCTACCTAGAGTTCTGGCCCTGACTTCCCTCAGGGACTTTTGACCAGAAAGCTTAAGATGAAATAAACCCTTTCTTTCCCAAGTTACTTTTTGGTCATGATGTTTTCGTCACAACAACAGAAACCCTAAGACAGGGAGCTCTCATTTTGTTAGCTGCATCAATAAGGAGGCAATATTAGTGTCCTTACCTGCTTCATACCTCCTCCAAGCAGGTAACTCATTGTCGCTTTAAAAAGTTGTTCTGCCTAAAAGCATAAATATTTAAAAAAAAATCTACATGTGACTCTTGATTCCAAGTACCAATCTTAGGTGCATACGTGAATACATGCATACATACATGTGTGCCCCCCCCCCCAACGGATACGCAGAGCACTGATACTCTTAAAAGGGACCAAAGGATCAGGGCCTCATCTCTAATCTGTACCTTAAAGTACCCTGTGATGAATGGAAGCTAACTTGAAGAGATTAATCACTTGAATTCGTGTGACAGATCGCAAACTGTCCTGTGATAGTCACCCTATCAATTAAGTTTTCAAAATAGCCTCGATTTTTGAATCAGCCTTCTTTAGTTAGGTGTGATCATACCACAAATTTAAGTTCTAGCTAACAGTAACAGGCAGAGAATGTCAACACCTTTAAGACATTTCATAAGAATGTTACTTGCACCAAATTCTCTCCTTTCCCCTTCCCGCAGGCTGCATGAGTCAGCTCACTCATGGCAGATGAAGACATACTTCAAAACGAACCCGAGATTTTTGAACCACACAGAGATGCCTAATCTGCTTGTAGTTTTTTACCTACTTGTGGGCTAATCAATTAAAAAGAAACACTTGTATCTTGAGTCACTGTATTTTAGGGACCTTTTTGAAGAATAACATATCTCCTCACTGTTACAGTTCCCTTGAGGGGTTACCACTTCAAGACATCACAAAGTGACTGACTTACATTTTCAAGTTGCCCGCGTATAAATGCCAAGTTGGCCATCTGAAAGCAAATTATAAAGAGCTGTTCAATTCAGAACACTGAAGTTTACACCAACTTAAAAACCTTTAAGTGAGACTCTTTCCTGCTTTAACAATCTTTAAAAAAAAAAAAAAGTTCACAACAGAGAAAATGTCACCAGTTAATCTGCTAGCGGCTCAGTACAGCAATAGCGAGAGAAGCCCCGAGTTTATTCTACACATTCTGTTGGAAGCAAATTAAACACATCTACTCATCACTGAAGAGAAGAACACTAAGATATCTGTTTCTTTCTGGTCTGAAATTATAAGTGACCCCATAAAGGATATAAAAATTAAAACCAAAAGAAAACGTAGAAAACGAAAACCTTCGGGACATCTTGAGAGTCAGGAAGATAAACTAGGAGGAGCACTTCCTCAGCATCCACCCTTCCTCATCAATAGCTCAAACTGCTCAGAGGAGTTACCAAATCGTAAGTGTAAGAGATGGCTTTCTTGTTATCACTCTGATACGCAAGGCGAAGAGCATCATGCAAAATTAGTTCCGCCGCTTCTGGCTCATCTTTCATGATGCTCAACTAAAAAGAGAAGACAAAGGAAACGTTATATGAAATGTAAGGAAAGCAGATGTGCATGCTGCTACAGATTAGATACAACACAGTACACAGAAGAAAGTCACTAATTCATCATGTAGTTATGGCATCCCCACTGTGCCCAGCTACCATGCTGACAGAGAAGACAGGGAGAACAGCCTCCTTGCATCTAGGTATGCTTATACAACAAAGCTTGACTAACAGACCAGACAGAATGAATGTGAGCAATCTTTTTTTCCAGAGACAGAGACCTGGCTGCCTCTGCCTCCTGAGTGCTGCGGTTAAAGGTGTGCAGCGCCTCGCCTGACGCTGTATTTACTTTATGAGGAAGCTACTTGCCTTTTACCTTCTTTTCCTCTTCCTGTAGATTATAAGGGACCACGTAGGACAAGGAGGCTTAATTAAAACTCATGAGGAGAGCAACAAAGAAAAACACCACAGAGTGAACCAGGGATCTCATCTAATGGGAATCAAGGAAGTGTTCAAGAAAATGAGAGTAAAAATGGGGTAAGGAGAAGGAGTCAACCGGACAACAAAATGGACAGAAGAATGGCCCCAACAAAGATAAGGAGCGAAGCTCCTACAGACGGAGAAGAATGGTTCCTGGGAATCAATGCAAGGACGGACAAGGTGGATGGAGGACAGTGAGTCAGAGTCACTGTCACTTCGGTCACTTCCAGTCCTGCAGCCCATGACAGGCTTGTGTTTCCTCAGACACAGGGAGAAAGGCAACACGCTCTGCTTTACATTCTCAAAACATCGCTCGGCCGCTGCACAGAAAAAGAACTGCAGTGGGGCCAGGGAACAGGACCACTGGGAGAAGAATGGGGGAGATGGGGTGGAGGGCTCGGAAAGACTGGAGAAGCGTTTTGATTTTCATGGCACTGTGATTATTGCTGTGTGACTGGGGATTATCAACAACGCACTTTAAGAACCACGACGGGTTTTTTTTTTTTTTTTTAGGCTGGTTATTTTTTTCAGGTGGCAAAGCGAAGAGTGTTTAAGAACATATTTAGGAGGGGTCATTTAAGAACAAGCGCTTAGTTCGGAACATGCTAAGTATGAAGTAGCGACGCAAGAGAGACAACACGTGAACGGCACACTGCAGTCTGTGAACACAAATTTGGACGCTGATGGCATTAAGTCGATACTGAACCCACTGGAAGAGATGAAACAAACCTGGAGAGAAAATATAAAAGAATGTGGAGAAACAGATTTAGACGCGAACCAAGAGACATAAGCAACACTACATTGCATTTTCGAGGCGTCATACAGATACTATGCACAAAATATCACTTCGGCTTGGCTGGTTAAGCTGATTAAAACCACCCCCGCAAAACATCCCCACTCAGAACGTTCGGACAAAAGAGAAATGCGAGGGTGCCATCTCCACCTGCGCTCACGACCGCAGCGGTTTTGCGGCAGGATTCAGCGCGGACCGGTCTGGACGGATGCCAGCCTGGCACCTGGGGCCAATAATCCATCCAGACCTCGGGGAAAGCGGAGCGGAGAGCGCGCACGCCCCACCGAGCCCCCTCACCTTGGCTCGTTTCAGCAGCTGGATGATCTCGGCCTCCACCTCGTCTGTCTCGTCCTCTTCCGACTGCTCCGCCGCCGCTGCGGGCCGCGAGAACCAGGCGAGCGCTGCGAGAAGCGGCTCAGAGGTCACCGGGACCGGCCCGCGCCCCCGCACCCCCGCCCGCCCGCCCGGCCCCGCCCGGGAGCGCGCCGCTCACCTGCCAACAGCGGCAGCAGTCCCTGTCCCCGCGCCGGCGTGCCTCGGCTCGGCCGCCCCTCGGCGCCCGGCCCCGTGTCGCCCGCCCGCTCCGGCAGCAGACGCGCGGCGCATCCTCCGCACCGCCGGCCCGCGGCCCGCAGCAGCGTCCGGCCCAGACGCCAGCGCAGCAGCCGGAACATGCCTCCGGCGCGTCCTCAGCGCACCACCAGCTGCGACAGGAGCGGGACGCCCCGCCTGGCCGCATGCGCGATGACGTCCGCTGACGTCACGCCGCCTCGCCCCGCCTCCCTGCCCGGAGCGCGTGAAGAGTTCGCCGCGTCCCGGAGGAGAACGCGGGCTGCGTGCCATGGCGGTCACGCTGCCGGCGGTCGTGGAGGAGCTCCTGAGCGAGATGGCTGCCGCTGTGCGGGACGGCGCGAGAAGTACGGCCCGCGGGCTTTTTATTCTTACCCCGCATGGTTTTGCCTCTAAAGCCTGTGCTCGTTAAGTTGTTTAAACACAGGAATTTGAGTGATAGACGTCAGATTCCGGAGCGCGAGCGGGCCGGAGGGGAACCCCGGGTATAGGCAAGGGCCAGGGATTCGGAATGGCAGAAGCCTAGACAATTTTGAGTTACTCAGAATCTTTTTCCATAATCCATGATGCAAAGTTTAAAAATAATACTCTCCTAAAAAATACTCTTCCTATACTTTGTTTAGAAAAAATATAGTCACAAAACCTAAACATCTAGCAGTTGAAAAATACTTTCCCCCTGTGGCCAGCAGAGGGCGCCCTCTGTCTTCAACGAAAAGACCAAACGAGATGATTTTTGTTTGGTGTAGAGGAGGATCTTCTTGTAGCTCAGCTACAAGAGGGCTTGCCTAACATGCATTGAGCCGCCGTGGATCCTCGCCCCTGCATAAGACCAGGCACAAGGCTGTAATCTCCGCACTTGGGAAATTGGAGACAAGAGAATCAAAAGTTCAAAGTCATCCTCAGCTACATAGCGCTAAGCCAGATGGACTACCATAGGAAGACGGTCTCAAGAAGGGGGGAGGGTCAGGAAGATCCTTTTAGACTGATTAGAAGCACCCTGTCAAAAATGGCGCCCCAAAATAATAGTCAAATTAGAGCTCAAAACTGTTTCTGTCCATCCATTGCGCTCTGTGAAAGGGTTTGAGTTCCTGCTTTAAAGGGCTGAGAAAAATGTTTTCATTTTGCTCTTTTACATATGTATAAAAGATTTGATCAACCAGGTAGTCAAACACGTTTTGATTTCAGAAAAGTTGTGGGGGTGTCTGTTGTGAGCTCTTGCTTCCTGGATTCGACCATAAATGTTCGGAGTTTTATAGACCCCCCTTGCCAGAACCGGGATGTTAATGAGAGTGGGTTGATCCATATGCTGACAACTGAAGAGGATGTCACTGACATTTGACATCCCTTGGTCAGGATAGAGTCCAGTGGCGCCGTTTTCTGCTGGTTCGAAATCTTGGCTCTTCCTAATCCCGACTCTTCATTGGTAACCTTGCCGAAGAAAAGTCCAGGTTGCATGTGCATGCTGTATGAACTTGTCAGAGCTGAGCCATGTAGGAAGCTATGGTTTCCTTTCCCGTGTAACTTGGTCTCTGTACTATAACCGTCTTGGCTTTGTATGCTTACTTAAACCCCAAATTTTTTGCCAGTGTTACAAATCTCCACTCAAAACGTTAAGGTTAAAAGGCATTTTATCAGTTATACTTACCCTAAAGAAGTCTGTCCAAGAGCCTGCTGACTTGCCTCATGGGAATCGGCTGGTGTCGGAGGGGACTACAGTGATCTTCCTCGCTGTTGCAGTCCTGGGAATTCTCTTTACCCACTTTGGTTTTATGTTTCGCATAGCCTGCGAATCTCTTCCCTCTCGTTTATTCATGTATTTATTGTTTCCTGTCTTACCTTATGAAGCACAGTACTTCAGTAGGTTCCTGAAGGAGGCATGAACTGGATCTTTGAGGCTTTGAATGTCTGAAAGAGGTTTTTCTAGTCTCACACTTCATTGGAAGGTATTAAATTACATGTAAGAAAGAACATTTCTTCATCTGAAAGCATCATTCCATAACAGTCTAGCATTTTGCATCTAGCATTGTTCCTGAATTTTGTGTGTGGCCTTTATTCCCTCTGGGTGTTGCAGTCCACCCGTGGAGAACTGATGGTGAATAGCACTGGTGTATGTTCCTTTTCGAAGATCACGTGTGACCACACTCACCTTCCTCTCTGCTTTATCATGCTTTAAACCAATTCGAGATTACTCACAAAAGTTGGCCTCTGCAGCGCCAGTGCTGTAGGTAGATGTTAGCCTGTGTTGCTTAGGGGAGAATGACCAAAGAGTGGCATGGGAGGCTCGGGGGTTTGGGGTGTTGGGAGTGTCTGGTGTCTATTTCCTTTTGTTTGGCCTCAAGTCCAGTGTTCATGCCTAAGCCTTCTGAGTTTCAGTTACAGGTGTGTATCTGGCTTTTCAATTTCTTTTTTAAAATTTTGTGTGCCTGGGTGTTTTGCCTGAAAGTGTATCTGTGTATCATGTGGGTGCAGTGCCCTCGGAGGCCAGAAGATGGCATCAGATCCTGTTGGACTGGACTGTGAGGGAGCTGGGGTGTGAGCCCTGCTCCTCTCAGGTCTTAACTGCTGAGCCCTCTCTCCATACCCTCAATTTTTACCTCATGTTAACCCACGGATGTTGATCCCATGGGTGTGGAGAGCCAGTTATATCTTGTTTATGGCCTTGATTCTCAATCTTCTGATACGATTTTGTCCGTTTTATTTTTACGTGTATGTGTGTCTGCATGTGTCCGTGTATTATATGTGAGGAAGCCCCCCGAGGCCAGAAGAGGGTGTGGGATCTGTGGCAGTACAGGCAGGTAAGAGCCACCCAGTCTGGTGCTGCAAACCAAACTCCAGCTGGCTTCGAGAGCCGCAAGCTCCCTTAATGAAGGAGGCATCTCTTCAGCCTCTGGTTTTGTTTACCACTCCATCCTGCGGGTACTCTTGATGGACTCTTGATGGACTTGACAGACGTTCTTTTCTTTCTAGTGTTTCTATCACCAGGTTATGAAGTGTGCTTTACTGCCCCTCTGCTTCTTGGGAACTCCCTTCAACTGTATCTTCTAGATTTTCTGTGAGGTTTGAATTTCTGATGTTATATTTAATTCGCACTGTTGCACTGAAAAGGACGTCCCCATGCCTGTTTCACTGCATTAGCTGGTTTGTTCTGATATTAGTAGTAGGCGGTGGAACCTCCCTCTGGCCAGTGCTTCCTCTCGGCAGATTGTTTTCCTCGTTTCTGTTCTCTTTTTACTTTGTAGTGGTAACTCTTGTCACGTTTTAGAGGAGAAGCCTCAAGCAAGGACTTAAAGGTGATGGTCACTGTAGTTCTCACTGGGTTCTTAGCTGGAGCATCCATTCCAGTGCTGTCTCCTGTTGGCTTGCTCAGATTCCCCCGTCTCCGGCCCAGAAGGTGACACCTGGGGGAATAGCTCAGTGGCAGAGGGAAGAAGAGGAGGGTTGACTGCTTATCTTACAAGAGCCGTGATGGGAAGAGAGCAGCAAGTCCCTGTTTTGGATGTTTTCTCCTAGCCTCGAAATCCTCTATTAGAGCCTCTCGTGAGAGTCAGTGGTCATCTGCAAGATGAGGGAGCAACAGCCACCTGCAGCTAAAAGGGAACTGGGGTGGATCTTTCTTTCTATGTTGTTATATTATTGTTGTTATTATTATTATTACTAGTATTATTATTATGACACAGTCTGTGTAGTTCTGGGTATCCTCAGACTCAATCTGTAGACCAGGCTGGCCTTGAACTCACAGAGATCTGCTTGCCTCTGTGCTGAGATTAAAGGTGTGCACCAACATACCCAGCGGAACTGATCCTTCTTAGACCACTTTCAGAGAACCTTATTTTAGAGTTCCTGCCTGATCCTATCTCCAGAGATCTCTAGTGTCATGAGTATTTGAGGTTTCTTTTGAGGGGGCTTGTGGAGGAGGATAGTAGGTTTTGGAATATGCGTCAGACTTTTGCTTGGCTCTCCCTACTGCTAGCTTCAGATACAGATTGCTAGGGTCTGGAAAGTTATATTCCACTTTTGTATCAATTTCCAGTGTATTTTAGCTGTTGTTTTCTCCTGCCTTTTCCATCCTTGGGAACTAATGATTTTTTAAAATAAGTAAATAAATCCTTTTATTATTATTTCAGTGGGGTTCGGGAAAGGAGGAGAATTGGCTACAAGGTTCTGTTTACATCTTATGTGGTGATTTGGTTATAGTGGTTGTAAGAGCTTCATGTTTGTACCTACTAGTCTAACGATTAACTCTTCCATTTTACAGTTTCTGATGAACATCTCTCATCGTAAGTACATACCCTTGCTTGATTTTTTTTTTAAAGTTACCATGTTTTAAGACTCAAATCCTTTCAGTATGTTCCTTGGTTTTTAAAAAATAGGAAGAGGGCTGGGGACATGACTTGCTGCTATTCCAAAAGACCCAAGTTCCATTTAGAAGATGCACCTCCACCTATAACTCCAGCTCTAGGAGATCCAATGTCCTCTTCTGGCCTCTGTGGGCACTGCAAACACATGGCACACAGACTTGCCTGTAGGCAAAACTCCCCCACACGTACATTCTTTTAACATTAAAATAAAATAGACATGGTGGTACACTTGTAATCCCAGCACTTGGAAGGTAGACGACATGAGGACCAGAGGGGGGCTTCAAGGTCACCCTCAGCCACACCAGAAGTTTGAACTCATCCTTCTCACCTCCAGGGGCTCCTGTACACACAGTACACCTGCATGTTCTCAAGCACTTCATATAAAATAAAGCAAATAAATCTTTTTAAGTAGAATAAGTAGGAAATAGACAAATAATAAAAGAATGCAAATAGCCAAAAACTTTTAGGGGAAATGATAATATTACTAATAATCATAAAATGCAAAATAAAGATTTTTTTCTATAAAGCTAGCAACCACAGAAGAAAATGTTGACAAAATATGGAGAAAGGGACATGTAATCCCTTGCTAGTAGAGACAGTAGAAAGTAACCTAGTGTCTTAGTTACCTTTCTACTGCTGTGACAAACCATCACGACCAAGAAAGAATATAAAAGAAAGCATTTAACTGGGGGCTGCGTATACTTTCAGAGAGTGAGTCCCTGCCCATCAGGGTAGGGAGATAGCAGCAGGCAAGGAGACACACACGATGCTGGAGAAGTAGCTGAGAGCTTGCATCTGATGC